TTTTAATATATCTCTATATGGCATGTAGAGATGCATATCCTGAGGGTCTGAAGAGAATTCTGGTATTGGTGAATTTGGATGAGAAAAAGAAACCAGACAACTTCTAACTTAAAGGTAGCATTTCCTTCAATTACAAGTTAAGTATCATTTGCTGGTGCTTTTATGGTAGCTAATGAGCCCACTCCTGGATCTTGTTATTTAGTGCTTCATCTTTTAAAAAATCTTAATATCACAGAGGTTTTTTTTGTTGTTGTTGTTTGTTTTTTGGTTTTTTTTGGTCTTTTTGAGACAGGGTCTTGCTATGCAGTTCAGGCCGCCCTTGAGCTCACCTCATAGTCCAGGCTGGTCTCGAGTTCGCAATGATTCTCCTGCCTCAACCTCCCGAGTGCTGGGATTACAGGCGTGGGCCACCACGCGAGGCTATCACAGAGTTTTAAAAAAAAATGTTGGATTCCCGGTACCAGAAAAAAGAACCTATCTTAGGCTGGGGATATAGCTCAGCGGCATAGCGCCTGTCTGGCAAGCGCGAGGTTGTGAGTTTGATATCTGGTACTGGAAAAAAACTAAAAAAAAAATGTTGGATAATTGGGTTTTCTTCGCTTGGATTTCTTTGTATTTTATTTCCTGCATGGGTAAACATTACCCACAGAAGGGGTCCTTAATTTTCACTGGGCTTGTTGTTCCTGGCATTAAAAAGCTAGGAACACCTGACATGGAAGGTGCCATGCTGGGCTTAGACACAAGGCCTTATGGGAAGATAAAGGAGCCAGAGGACAGGGGTGAGAGCTGCACCTGCATCCTGAGCAGAGGTGCTGTGGCAGTCTCTGAGATTCGTTGCCCGTCTGCTGACAGAGGTAATGGGGGAGAGGTGCACTCCGGAAGTGCATGGCAAAGTACATGGTTCATGGGGGATGTGGAGAGCTGGGACAAGTCTGCTCAGCTGTGTGACAAACCTGAATTTTATCTTTATTAGATTCCATCGTTTCTTGGATGTCAACAGCCACAAAATAGAAAAGACAATAGAAGGGTAAGTCAGTTCTGTATGCATGTGCATAATCAGAAAGTAGTGTTTTGTTTTGTTTTGTTTGTGGTGCGGGGAATCAAACTCAGGACCTTGGGCTTGTCAGGCAGGCACTGTGCTGCTGAGCTGTATCCCTGGCCCTGTATTTTCTTTCTTTCTTTTTTTTTTTTTTTAATTTTAAAGAGTAAAAGAAGGACAACATAACAGTAGGGGGATTCAGCGAATTATAGACAAAGTGGTAGGACTTTATCAGTAGTTGTTATTTTACCTATCTTCAAGATAGTTTCTCAGGAAAACAAATAGACAAATAACAGTGAGTTACAGACAGAAATGGCAGGAAATTATCAATGGTTGCTGTACTATACCCTGGTTTCTCCAAAGTGGTCTGTAGGGAAAACAAATAGAGCTATACATGAGTGATTAATCAGATAACCATTGACTATTTTCAGTGGTGGTTGTTGAAAACACATAGTAGCAAACGTACATCCATTTAGGAAGTAGCATAGAGCAATACAGACATTACAGAGTTACGGACAAATTGGTGGGAAATCATCAGTGGCTACTGCAATACATGTTGGCATCCTCAAAGTGGTTTCTCAGGAAAATAAAGATATGCAAGAAAGATCTAACAAGTAGTTACAGCGGATTGCGAAAAATAGTGGGTTACCTCATCAGTGACGCCCCTCACTGGGTATGCCGGCTGGAAGGAAGGCCAGGGCTGAGACGAACCCAGAGACCAGCGCCAGTGTCCAGCAACGGCCGCCCACTTTTTCCTCCATTCTCATGATTTCGGGGGCTCCTCCTTCTCCATGAAGGCGGTTCTACAGAATCTGAGTATTGGGCACCCCTGTAATCCATGAAGTCCCGGTGCAGACCTCTCCGGCGCTCCACGCGCTCCTCCACCGCAGCCTGCACAGTTAGGGGAGAATGACCTCCAGGGGGGCTCCCGGGTATTGCACAAGGTCCTCCTGGTTTATGGCTCCCGAATGGCTCC